AAATGGAATTAAAATGAATAAAATTTAAGGTGAAAGTGAAGTCAGGGATTGTTGGAAGGAGTATTATAGATATGTATGCTAGTTATATGTTGAAGTGTAGAATTAAAACAAATATTAGCGCCCAAGAAAACATGTGAAAATGGCTACATATTAACAGCATTCTCCTTCCCACTTTATTTTTATATATCAAATTTGTCACCACCCATCTCATTAAAAAACTACTCTGGGTGTAGTTTAGCTTCTTTTTACAGAGAAGCTAAAATCAGTTAAAAATACAATATAAAATAGTCCTGAATAAATAAGAAATATAGTCCAAGAATTGATGTTAACTGGCAAGTAGCTCAGGGAGTGTCATCAGGGCACCAGCCACCCCCAGGATTAAGATTCTTGTTGCCCCACACAAGCTGGCAGAGCCAGGTCTTTAGTCCTTTCTGGAAAGCCAGGAGGGTAGGGGCCCACCACACCTCTGCGGGGAGAATATTCCAAAGGGTGGGGCAACAGCAGAGAAGGCTCTCCTCCTGGGCCCCACCAGCCAACATTCTCTCGCTGACGGGGTCCATAACATTGCAGGAGAAACATAAACTTCAATCAAGTAAGAATGGGATAGTTACGACGTGTGCCTCATAAAAGAGGGACCATCAAGAATGAATGGGTGATGAATGTGAATTGAATACAAAAGTAATTAGTCTGAAAAAGTAGATACTTTAGTACTATAGAGAAAATGCAATTGTCTTGAAAAAACAAATACAGGTAGTCCTCACTTACTGAGAGTAATTGGGACTGGAAATTCCATTGCTAAGTGACCTGGTTGTAAGGTGCAATGTCATGTGACCGTGCTGACTCACAGCAGTAGTTCTGGCAGTCCCAGTTGCTGTTGTTAGACGAATCCTGCACAGCTGCAGTGTCCTGTGGTTATGTGATCACCATCTGCAACCTTCTGCCAGCTTCCCCATTGACTTTGTCAGAAGCCAGTTGCAAATGCCAATCACGTGACTGCCGGATGCTGCAGCATCATAATTGTGAGCCAGTTGCCAAGTGCCAAAACTGTGATCATGTGACTACAGGGATGCTGTGACAGCTGCAACTATGAGGACCCATCATAAGTCCCCCTCATTCAGCACCATCCTAACTTTGAATGGTTGCTAAACGAATGGACATTAAGTGAGGACTACCTGTATATGAAGGAAGAGTGAACTGGTCAGGAGGAAGAGGAAGAGGAAGAGGAAAAGGAAGGGGAAGTCCAAGAAAGTCAACTGGTTGGGTCCAGTTGACAATATTGTCAAAAAGAGGTGAGAACAAAAGGTAATATACGAAGAGGTGTATAGACATGGTTCCTATATTTGTTATTTATTGTTTTTCTATGTTTTATTTTTTTATTGTTAGCCGCCCAGAGTCATATGTTTGAGATGGGCAGCAATATAAATTGAATGAATAAATAAATAAATAGAAGTGGATGTTTGCAAAGATAGAAATGTAGATCTGACTGCTTAACTTTCTGAGATAAAGTAAGTTATATTACTGCATCCATAACAGTCGGTGACAAAGCAGTGATGCAGTGGTTATGTGTTAATGCTCCAGAGAGGGGGATCCATGAAAGGGGGATAGCAGTGAGCCATTCAACACAACTGGTAACTATGAAGTAGCCAAGAGCACAAAGGACATACTTACATAACAGTTCACCTGTATCTATACCAACCTGCTCTGAGAATACAGCCATGGGTTAGCTCATTACAAAGGGGTTACACAGAAGCAGCGCATTAATCTTTTCCCATAGGACAACCAGAAAGGAGTGATTTCTCTTCCACTCTCAAAATCTATTGAGGACCCTACAGAGTAGAGTTTGAGGTTCCATGGAGGACTATAGATCAGAACAAATATGAAGTTCTATTGAGCAAGTGGATTTACACTCGCATAACATTGGATCCCACCCTGTTCTTCCCTTTCTAGTGCCAAGGAAAGTGGTATTTGTTCTTTCATTCACCAGAAGCGTATAAAAGGAAAAACAAACTTGAATCAATGTGTTTTGAAATTTGACACTGGGAGAGTCTAACCAAAAGAAATTGTTTTGCTGTCTAAAACTTGAAGTAGCTGTTTGCATCAAGTCTCCTTCCCTTCTCCTACCACTTTGTCTGAGCTACAAATGAAACACCCAGGTCTACAATAATAATAAATAATTCCCTCTATCATCTAAATATGAAGTTCTTAGTACTAACAGATCATAATTTTATGACTATTTTATGAATGCTCATGAGTTCACTAGACCTTCCATATCACCTCTCTAATCCCAAGCCCAGTTCATACACTTGACTCACACACCTGGTAGCGCAACACAGATCATGAGTAATAGTGAAGTAAAGTAGCTTTCCTTCTCAGTGAACTCAGTCCTATTCAGAGGGAAACATAATTGAATAGTGAGTAACTGAGAGACAATTATGGTTCTTCACCATGTGAGTGGTAGCATCATATTTGTAGAAGCTTACACCATAAACCAGATGTATGCCTTACCCACTGAGCTGTATCAATAGAGATGGTGACCTCCCTTGTCCCAACTACAAATGAGAACGACAATAAAGAATCCCCCGTCTCCCAAACTTGAAAACAGAAAAGAAGATAATTAAAAGAAGTTTTATTAGGGCAATTTAACTTTATTTTTTTTTTCATACAGCTATAGCAGTAATAATAAAATAAGCATAAAAACAAATTGCAGCCCAGGACAGAGTACATAAGTAGGAGCAACTACCAAGCAAATTTAAGTCTGTGATTACATAATAGTAAAAACCAAGCACACCTGTCCTTTCAGCAGATGAAAGTTATAGGGTTGCAAGGAAGTGCAACATGTACTAATTCATCAATATGAATTATGAGACAGAATAGATCCAATCATTGGTTTCCTCCCCCCTCACTTTGGCTTCATGTAGTACATGGTTTGTCAAGTGCTTTAGGTTAAAAATGGTAAATTTGATAGGGTATTTTTTTTCACCTGCTAAAAGAACCGGATTCACTACAGCAATAAAAATAATTACATAACAACTACAGCTATGATGGTTTTGTTTTGGTTTGCCTGTTGACATTTTTAAACTTCTTTAGTGTGCATGTGAAAGTCAATATCGCTTTCTCTGTGTATGTGTGTGTTTGAGCTAGTGTGTGAATAATAAAACTACTGAAATTTTTCAGAAACTGTTTTGAATAGAATATATATTTTTATATCTATTTATATTTTCTTTTTCTCTCTCTCTCTCTGATACTTGAAACATGCAGTAGTTGTTTTGAGTAATGTAAGACATATTAGATCCATGATTTACCTTTAATGGTTGGAAGTACCTGTTTTTCTGAAATTTTATTTTTAAAAAAATAATTTTTATTTTTCTTGTCTCATCAGAAATTATCTTCAGGCAGATTTAGACCAGTGCAGCTTTTGTTAGTCATGAGAAGGATGGCCAATCTTTCCAGCTGAAAGAATCCTGGCAAACTAAAGCTGTTCACATAAAGCAAAGCCACTTTTTCAAAGGGGTATGGAGTGCTAACTCTGTGCCACTTTTTTGCAAGCAATTTTGTTCAGCCTGTCATTTTTATAAGCCTTAACAAAACTCCTTGTATTTATAGACATTTTTATTCAAAATAAGATCTTACTATTATACAGGTTTCTCTCTTTATTTTTTTTATTTGACTATATACAGAAGTGCAAAAGGTCAACCTTCTCCCTATACTTTCCCACATGCTAAATTGCAGCATAATCTTCCCTCAAGAGTATGCACGAGCACTCACACATATTATAATTCTTGTTATACGTAAACTTTTGAGTATTTGGATTATCAACAAAAAAAGTCCCTTGATCTACTGATTATGCAGCTTATTTATAAGAAGGCCTGATATTCAGGGATTTCAAAAAAATATTTAAACAATATTTTAACATTTGAAATGGATACAGTAGAAAATAAATTTTATTCTAATATCTAGGAACTAGATTTTTTCTTTTATAATTAATTACAAACAAAATAAATCATCAAAATATTACTCAGTTGTCTGCCAGGATCATTTCAATAGCAACAACTTAACTTCTTACTTAACAATGATTATATAAGATATCCATATAAAAGATCTTTGTTCTTTTAATGAAAACTAGACAAGAACTAACAATGACTGATATTCTTACATTGTAATATTAAATCAGTAAAATATAAATCATTTAGTTAACAAGAATACGGATATTCATGACACTACATGTAAATTCAAAACTGCATATGCTATGAAGAAAAAATATTTTTAATTTTTTTTCATATTTTGAAAAAAATTCATCAGTAAAATCTAATAAAACAAAATTCTATAAACTTAAATGGCATTCATCTGGTAATAGAAAATGAAAATGATCTAATAAATGTACGAAATAAAAACTACCATTTTAACAAGGAAAAATAAGTCGTATTTTCTAAATGTAAGTAAACTACAATAACATGTGAAGTCACCTATACTTTCTTAACACGATTGAAATTACATTGGTATGGGTTTTAACCCGTAATGTAATAATCTAAGGCTTTAATAGATGTACAGTACAATCAGTAAAATCAACACATCATTCTTTTTTTTTTATTTTTAACTAGAAAGCATCTCTCAAGCATAAAAACTTGCAAGTAAACTTGGAAGTATGGAGAATTCTAGAACCGAACCCTCACCTCTCCCATTCTACGCGACGCTACCAGAGACCTGGCCCCCACCTTGAGCTTTGCTGAACAGAGCAAAATATATCCTTTACTAACTGCAACATCCAAACCACACAAAGGATTTCCTTTGGATGAATCCATCTTAAAAACTTGAATGCACATCTATTTTTTGTTTCATTTTGTAAAGGCTTTCTAAGGCTATAAGCAGTTAAATCTCAACAGAAGAAATCACATATAAAACTCACCCGATATTTAACCCACCCAGCGCCTACTCTAATTAACATTTTCATTGATTGTTGATTATTTTGGTTTTCTTTTTAATCAGGCATCTGATGTCAGTGCTTTTCCCATGATTAGAGTCACTATTTTTTTTTGAAGTGCGTGACTTTGAAGTGATGCATTGGATCAGAAAAGCAAATCCCATTTCCTTCAACACATTTAGAGTCTCTTGGACTTTTGACAGAGGTTAGAAAATTGAAGCAAAATAAAATTATTCAGACATTTTTCTAATATTGTCTCAGAAATGGCTCTTCCCTTTTTAAAATAGTATATTGTTTGTTATACAGTATACTTTGCAAAACTATTACAACTACAATTGTTTATAATAATTTATAGGTTTATATATCCAGTATGTGTAGGAATGACCCATATATCTATGGTTGTTTTTGCTTTAAAAAAATGAAAAAGAAAAAAAAATATGCTGTCTATTATTAACTGAGGTGGCCATTTCTGAGACAGCTTTGGTTTGAAACAGAAGGGTGCCCTTTGACTGATTAGCTACTAGCAAAAAAAGCAAAAATGTGGCTCTTAAAGTAACACTGAAGAAATAATACTCTACTTTGATTACAGTCTATGGCACTTCATGAAAATCTTTAACAACACGGTACTTAAAGCCATTGATGTGCTTTAAAAATATACACAGTTGTGGTTTTACTTGGCACATTCATCTCTGTCAGATACCTCTTTTACCACTTCTTACAATCTATTACATTTAAAAATATTACTCTTAAAACAAAAAAGGAAAAAAATTATACTGTGCATGCACGGTCTCTTCTATAATGGCAATTTTAAATACAAGGTGCACCTTTTGTTATTTGTAAACCTTGAGATAATAAACTTACTTTAAAAATTATATCTTGGTCTACAGACGTACCAATACATTATAGATCTATGGCTACATCACAGTCTGTCTTTTCAAAATGACGTACATGATTATGTAGGAAAAGAGTCTACCAATGCATACGTCGGCTAGGTATGCATTGCATACTTGTGTGCTAGAAAAGATGGACAATGCTGTAGTCTTTAGACTAGCATTCTCCAACCTGATGCCCTTTAGCTTTCTTGGGTCTGCAGTTTCCAGGATTCAACCCAGAATTATAGACCAACACAACTGGAGGGCACCAAGTTAGGGAAGGCTGCTTTAGACAATATGATCACCCCAGCACAAATATCTATTCAATGTACAAAGTATATAGGCAACAGTGTGCAGTGAATTTCCAAGTTGTCATTTCATCTTGTTAACATGCAATATGTGGATGTCTTACTGCTGAGGAAATTTGGGTGCTGTTACTTTACGGTATATACATTATGGCTAATGACCTGTCCTGATTCTTCACTCAACCACGCTGTCCTCTTCTCTGTCATATGATCTATGAAAACAAGGAGAATTTTTAAAAAAATTATCTCAAACAAGTAGTATATGAAAATATAACTCTTCAATCCAACAGAAATATTCAATCAAAAGTCAATTATTTAAATAAACACATATAAACACAACACTCCTTTGTGAAGATCTAGTTCCCTTGAGAATGCTGGGAAAAATAGAAGGAAAGAGAAGAAGACAACCAGCAGCAGGATGGATGGACTCAATTACAGTGGGGATGGTTGAAAGACTCTAAGGGCCAGGTAGAGGACAGATCATTCTCGAGAAGTCTGTCTATGTAGCTGCCAAGAGTCAAGACCTAACGATGACACATAATCAATCAAATCAATTTAAAATATCCCTCTGAATAGGAAGGAGTCTGTGATTCCCCCCCCCCCGGAAAAACTAAATTAGCAGTGAAGATATGAAGCTTACATTACTTGTGACTAACTGCAGGAGCATTATGTAATGTTCTCATAACAAAACATCGCTGGATCCCATTTATTCATATTTTGCTATAAAAATGTAATGGGAGTATGTGGCAAATGGCTGACTATATACCCAGTGCATGATGACCAAAAGACGCTGCTCATTATGAAATGGCCTTCACCCATGTGTTAACATTTCACAATGAGCATTAAAAAAATACTTTCAGCCTGCTACTTGACTTACTCTGGATACCGGTCAGACTAAAAATAAAATAAACAAAGAGGTATTGCAAGAGAGTATGTTCTTAAGAACACAAGAAAAGCTCTCCTGATTAGAACAAATGTCCTTTTTTATCCTTCCCACATTATCCAGTAAAGTATGAGCAGGACATGAGCACAACAGCCATTTTCTGTTGCTGGCCAGCAAATATTATTCAGGATAATATGACTTTTGTAACCAGCAGGAACAGATAGCAATAGCCTCACTAGTCTAATTATCTTTTTAAATTCCATGCATGGAACAAGCTGGGAAATATTTCCTTCATTTTGTACAAAACATATCTGCCCATCAAAAATGAGGGCTAAATTCATATGCAGATATATTTGTTTTAGCACTGAATGCATATACACTGACTTTTGAGTAAGCATATAAAACAGTATCAGGGAACAGCACTCTAGCCTTCTATACTCTCTGAGATGTCAGGTGTTAATGTTCATTAGTTACAGGTATTTCTATATCACTGAGCTCAATCTGAGCCTTGGCAGTTTACAGAGAATATAAAACATAAATTTAAAAACATTTAATACAACAGACATCCAACTATAGGAACACAGAGGCACATACACAATCACCCAGCAATCATGCTACAAGGACAATGGAATGCAAATCCCCCCAAAAGTATCAAAATACCATAACATGAACTCAAGATACTTACTGTTTGATGATTAAGTGTCTACATCTGTGTAACATACTTGTGGCTAGTCAGATGTTCGGCAGATATTATGGGAATCTATTAAAAAATATAAGTGTAATTGATATGATATAATAAAGTAGCTCAAATGAAAAACTGCAGAGTTCTGTATTATAATATATACGTTAACAGAAACCTAGGTAGCAATTTAAATGAGAACATTTGGTTAAGTAGGATATCAACCATTATTGACTGTTTAGAAAGAAAGATAAATTTACAGTTAAACATTCATGCAGTTCAGTCATTTCAAACACTCTTTTTGTTGGCCTACACAGAGGTGATATGATCTAGGATTGCTTCAGCTTCCTGATTTCAACAACTGCTTCAGAAATAATTCAACAATTGGCTTCAGAAATAATTAGCAAACTCTCGGGTGGTGCATTTTGCATATTTACTGTAACATTTGTAAGATTTTTCTGAGATAATTATTGTAACAATAACTGATGTCACTGTCTATTTAAAAAGAACTGAATTTCAAGTGAATGGCTCACCAGAATGCAGTGCTGGAACCTTGAACAACACTTGGGAAATTTACTTTAGGAGTTGGTTAGAAAATCTAAATACTTGGCTATCCATACAAGTAAGAATTGTTTCTGTTGTTGCCTAACAGCATCATTTTAGATTCTTTTGTTGTCTATGGATTTGAAATATTTGTTCAAGTTTTTTACGATGAAAAGATTGCTAGAACTGTTCCCAACATAATCCTCACACTCCACTGAAATTGGAGGAAGAGTATCTATTGTTTATAGTAGATTTCTCTCAAGATCAATCAAGGGAAATTAGTAAGATAAAGTGCTTCCCTCCTGCACAAAGTACTCTCAAAACAGATCCATTTGGTCAGCTCTGGACTATACAACTACCAAGTAAAGCAATTTTTGTTGTTAAAATGTTTGCTGGCAGTTGAGCAGGAGGGATTTTAGAGCATCCTTTATGGTCACTGATATAACTGACACTATTCTTTAAGTGTTGTTACAGCAGGATTTTTCTTGATTGTTTTATAATTACTAGACATTTTTATTTTATTAATCTAATTGGTGGTTTAAGTTAATTCTAAAATTGTCTCAACTACTTTTGGGCACAGACTGGTTTTAAATAAATAAGTGTGTGTGTGCACACGCACGTTTGTGTAAAAACAGAAGCAGAATTTCCAAGAAGTGTTACAATATTCACTCTAGCCCCTGAATACAAAAATACAAGTAGGCCCTCAGTTTCTTAATTAGGTAATAGTTCCCAATCATTTGCACTGAAAAGTTAAATGTCAAACAGGTTCAGATAAGATAAAGAACAATACACTCATAAGAAGGCAGGCTCTGAACCATGATCGCCTGTTCCTGCAGTCCATAATTTACTTACTTCCTGTTGGCTTCTATGACTAGAGCACAAAACAGAAGGTCCAAAAGATAGTAAACAAAGAGATAAATCTTCTGATTCAGCCCAACTTATTTTTCCACCCCATCCCTAATATTGTTTAAATATTTTCAGTAGTAGCCTTCTCCAATTTGGTATTGTCTCGATAGCTGGGATTATAATTCCCCAAATTCCCAGTAAGCAGAAGAATTGGAATCCCAAAAAATCTGAAAGTTCCCAGATTGGGGAAGACTAATCTATACATTTCTAAATTCTCTTTTTGCACATAAATGTGTCCCAAGTGTAATGAAGCTTCTCATACCATTGGTTTGCTACTGCAGTAGAAAGAGATGTTGCATCCAGCTGTCTAGAAGCTTCAAGAGTAGTGCTGTCAAAACAGACCAAGGAGCTTCAGCACCAGTCAGTAAAGAGGAAGAGGGCCAGGTCTCAAGTACTTATGCATGCATGAACATTGCATTTTGTGGCACTGCATCATGTCAGCATTGCTCATGTATTATATACATATATTGCTTATATATGTATATACAAAGAATAGGTTACAAAACTTGACTGGAGCGCATTATGAGGATCCAGAGAGATATGCATGAAATGATCAAATTGTACAACGAAAACAGAACCTCCAGAATCTGGGTGGGAAAAGCCCTTCTAAAAATACAGGAAAATATTCAGAATCATCTGTACAGAGGACAGGGGAAAGGGAAAGAGGATTTTCCTCTCTCCCTCTTTTCTTCTTTCCTTCCTCTATGAAAAAGTAACTTGCCTGATGACTAAATTTTTCATTATTAATGCCTAATGAATACTTCCAGGATTCCTTTGTATACTAGTCACTCTTTTCTTTGTTATAAATCAAACATCAAATTGGTACATTGTAAAGAAGATAGCACTTTAAAAAAAAAACTCTTAGCATTCAAAGATATTGCATACTTGAAATGTGCTTTTACCCTGACCCCTCTGTCACTGGCATTACTATGTGAAAATGTGGTTATCTTGACCTAGCCCTATAGCAAGATCAATACACAGAAGGAAAACACTACAGAATGGAAAGTAGATGTACCTACAGTGGCCTTTATATATGAAAATATAAATGACAAACTGATGGTTATTCTCTGCCAATTTTAACCATCAAGAGAAAAATTGGACGTGATGGTATCTATGCTTTCTGAAACTTCAGTGGCACTATGGCATCAGGGGAGGCACTTTTTCCTAATTTTTAACCATTAGTGGACATATATTTTAGGAAGAAATGGGAGAGTTATCTAGGGGAGACTTCTATATCTCACACTGTAAACACTAGACCCAATCAGAATATGGACTCTATGTACATAGAGTCCACCTTGCCACTATCCAAGTATTCAACTCCCCAAATTCCCGCTCAGCATGGATGTCCCAGCACATCTTGAAGGTGCCAGATTGGGGCAAGATACTTATATTATAGGGTCAGTTGTAAGCTATGCTGTGTCGTAAGCTATAATGTGTAATTTCATCATAATAGGCCATAGGATGGTGATGGGGTTCCCTTTCCTTGTTTGTAGATTCTCTTTCCTATTTTCCAGAAAATTCTGAAAATGGAATTGAGACCTTTTGTGTGATGGTGAGTGGGAACTACAATGGTTTATGACATTTCAACAGAGAATCAGGTGCAAAGCACCTCTTCTCCCTTACATAAAGGGAACTTAAAAAAAAAATTAATCCCACCTTTATTACTTTTATAAATAACTCAAGGTGGTGAACATACTTAATACTCCTTCCTCCTCCTATTTTCCCCACAACAGCTGGCTTTCATGCCTAAGGTAGGACTAGAACTCAGAGTTAATTGCAGAGAGAAGAAACCACTTTGTATATCACGATTTTAGGATTGAGGAAGTCTGCTTGAGTATTCCCATACAATTTTTACCAGGTGATGGTGTGCTTAAAAAAACAAACAAAAAAACAAACAGAAAGCTTTTCTCTCGTTTGTACAGTGCTGCATCCAAATAAGTATCTCCTTTGACATCAAGGAACTTTTTTTCTTAGATTGCATTCTGGTTTATTAGAGATAAAACAGGGACCCAGATTCGGATCTAGTATGGTCTTAAGGAATAATAGGAATATTATGCCTTAATAGGATTCTCAGGGAATTATGCAATGTATTGCAACTGCCACTGCCCATTGGCTAAATATTTTATTTTGCCCTGATGATTTTAATGAAATCATTCCTTTTTCTTTTTTCCCTGTGCAAAATTATTCAGAATCCTCCTAACTTAATGATTTCTGTTGCTAATCTGCAAAATAGGGCAGAGTTCTTTATACTGCATCTAAAGGTAGCAAACTACCTTCATGATTTAGGAGCAAGCTTCAAGGCATACTCATATTTGTCCACCAGCATCTGTAACCTGAGCTTCTTTGTCTCACTTTGCCTAAGGTAGGGCTAGCCTTATAATGTGCCTCATAGTACATTAATATGCCTTTCTTCATAGGGAGGACCTGCTTAACCTCCTATTTCAAGTTGCCAGCCCTTGCACTCTATGGCCAGGACAACCAATTACAGTTATAATGGACAGAACACTGTATAGTTTTAGTGAAACTAAACACCATTAGTTCATGAGATCCTGCTTTCTTGTTTGAGAAATCTAAACTGCACACTTCAGGGCAGAAAGACTGTTGCTTCTGTTACCAGTCTACCGACAATTTTTACTACTTCTTCCTATCTCTTTCAATTATGGAATAGATTGTTTATTGCTATCCTCCTGCTCAAAATAGAGCAATTAATGAGGAGGAAAAGGAATGCAGAGTATCTAAATTCTAGGCATGGGAATGGTAAATCTAAATCTAATGGTCACTATAAACAAAAATGGGCAATCCACATATCTCTGTGGCTGTTGCAAATTATTCCACTGAAGTCTGATTTTTTTCCCCAGGTAATAGCAAGGAAATAGATGTTAATGGCATCAAGTTATTCCCCACTGCCCAATATTGTATCGATGGAATTCTGATTCTGATACTAGTATCGATGGGGAACCCCAGGGCCTCCAGATACTGCTGAAGCACAACTGCCAGCAGCTGTAGCCAGCATGACCATAGCTGTGGATGCTGGGCATTATGTCAGCAACAACAGGATTAGAGATTCCTACTCATTCAGATATTGATTTTTTGCATTTGGTGTTCTTTAAAAAGTAGAAAATCAATTTAGCTCAAGTTCAAAGATTCTGTATATTAACTTTAAAGCACTGGAAGATTAAAATGAAAAGAGTTGTAAATTTGAGATCTGGCCTACCAGTGGATAATAGCAACATTCAAATTTCTAAAACCTAGCGCTTTCTAGTTAAGTTCAAGAACTCTATCATCATCACCTAGCATATATGCATCTGGAGAACAGCATGTGGGAAGAGTGTTCTAAGTATTCATTTACTTTCTTGTCATATACTTCTCCAATCTCAGGCAAGCTATGGTCTTTTTGCTTTGGCCATAATTATGCAGAAAATAATACTGGCCTACTTAAAAGAGATGGTATTTATAGCTTAAGTACACTGCATGAATATACTTGGAACATCCTTTGGTGCTTTGAGTTATATCAAGCTTGTTTTACAGTTGGGTCCAGAACAGCCTCTCGAACTCCTCCAAAGATTGCCACTGAAGTATAAATTTTAGATGAATGGGGTTTTAATCACATTTAACAGTAGCTATTTAACTTAATTTTAATTAAACCTCAATTAAATTAAACCAAATTTAGCCTTTTCTTGGCTCTGCCCATTTCTTTGTCCTGGGTCTGCTTACTCTCTGAATCGCCTTCCCCAGTTTGCCATTCATAGATTAGATGCTGCCTTGGCTTGCAAAAAGTTGACCACTCTACATAGAAAAAAAAGAAGAATTGTGATCTTACATCCTTGCATTTTCTTTCTCTACATCTGTTCTTGTAACAGTGAACATGAAAGTGGGGGGCAAAGAAATATGGCTTGTCACATGTTGATCAATTCAGGAAGGACTTATTATTGGAGAGCAGGGACAGAAGGCCAATTAAGCTATGCTGCAGATCTAAAGAGAATGTGTAGGCCAACAAGAAGTATAAACCGACAAACAAAAAACCAACCAACCAAACCAAAAAATAAAAAGTAATAACAAAAGAAATCCCCATGCTCCTTAAAAGCACCGATTCTGAGTTATGTTTAAGAAACAAAGCTGTAAATTAGCAAACCTGGTTGGCTGTGGCAGTTGCAGCGAAGGGGACGCTTGTGGCAGATGTTGTTGCTGCAGACACAGTGGCGGGCGTAGCGCCGTGCACCATGGGAACTTTTGGAAGGAAAACCATATAAGCAAACATACAGAAGAGTGTAGCAGTATGGGAAACCATGGCAAGAGGTGGTAAAATGGTCAAGTATGGCATTTATATCAGCAGAAAAGCCATGGGGCGAGATACCGCCACCAGCAAAAAGGACATGCAACCACAGCGCAAAGCAGGGCAACATTCCAGAGAGCGGGGTGGGGACAAGGTAAAAGACAAGAGGAAAGGAGAAAAGGGAAGGGAAAAATGCTCATTACCACTGAATCACCAAAGTCAATACAACAAAGTTTAACTATTTCATTTTACACCCCACACACTATAAACAGCACTCTTGTTAATAGTTTGAAAATCTTAGGATAACCATATTCCCAATCCCTCCCATTTTAACTTCTCATATTATTAGAATCTGCTGAAATGAAACTCTAATTCTACATTTCTTGCATTAAATGTGTAACTGGCTTTTTCTGTTTTAAATACAAAACAATTTTCTAAAACACTGGAACTCAAAGTCCAGTCAAAATCCACCAAAACTAATAAAAAGGGACGGGGGAAATGTGCCATAGAACAACTTGATATGCTAGGACGTAAATGGCTTCTAGATAAATTATGTCAATTAAATAAAGCAAATGCATTTAATTGACAAGTGTTAGTGCAAGGGAGGAAAAATGATTTTGCACAGTAACTCTAGGTTAAAACCTAGCAGTGGATTTTGAAAGTCCGTGAGCTGCTAAACAGGTTTAAGATAATCAAGAAACAAAGCTGGCACCTACCAACACTTGTAGCGGGTGTCATGCACAATATTGAGCCTGCCCATCATGCATTGCAACAGGAAGGTGGATTTGCAAAGGGAAAAGAATTAAAACAACCCATCACACGTGTAATTAGGAAAATCTCATTTGAACAAAGAAGGAAAAATTGGTTATTATGGGAAAACAGTGGCATGTAACCAATAGCACAATCAAATCAAACAGCAAGGTGGTGGTCAATTAGAACTAGACTTACATGAGCAGGGCAAGGAGAAAGCAGACTGAACTGTGTGTTGGTATTCTGATTAAAATGAGCTACTAAGTTAAATGTAGGCTCTAATAGCATAAGTTGTCCGATTTTGACATTTACTCGTTTGTTTTATATTAAGTTTGATTTATAGGTATTTCCCTCAGCATTTATATATAGTATAATCATTTTATATGCTAATTCGGGACTAATGTGGATGCAGAAAAGAGCAACACTGTACTAGTGCAACATTGAACTTTGCTGTTCTCCATTCTAACTGGCAGACAAAAGATATTTAAGTTTCAGGCAGAGGCTGGGTAAATCTAGATATACTACTGTTACTCTGTGGTTTTGAGGGCTGGTTAATACATAACACTAAACCATAATTTAGCATTATATGCATGAATGTCAGTCTAAGTAAAACCTTTTCCTTCCCTATGACTGAGAAGAAGGTACATGGAACTTTGCCTTTCCTAATCGATATGTCATAAGGACCAAGGGAATTCTATGGATCTAAGGAGCCCCAACCCATCCTCAGGGAGGAAAGATCCAGGGAGGGCAACAGAGGGGGAAAAGAGCTATTTTAGCCAGGGCTATGCAGAATAAAAAAGCAGCATAGCACTCTGCCAATGATCTCTTGGACACTGGTGGCATGCTGTGCAAGGTGCCAACATTTCTCTTCTGGACTTCTGTAAGAGTAGTTACAGCTCTAACTCACTGCAGGGGGCATGGTGTTATGGCAGATCTTCTCCCGTGGGGGGAGGATGAGGTCAAGCCTGATTTACAGGATGCCTCAGGGCTTGATGCTTCCACCCCAGTTCTAGGAAGCTTTGATCCTGAATGGGGTTGTATTGTCCAATTTGGGACTGGTGCACAATCTGGGTTTTTTTCCTGAACTCTCAGTTCCTGCTGAGCAGCTGTGGCCAGGAAGGTATTTGCCTTCAACAAGTTCAACATGTGTGCCGGTATATCGATTCCTGGATCAAGAGGTCTTCCTTACAGTCATTCATGGCTAAGTTATCTCCCAGATCACCTCTACTGTAACAGTCTCCACATGTTCTTGTTGTTGAAGAAGCTATATTTGGTTGAGAATGCAGCAGCTTGCTACTCCCATGTAACATCCTTGCTATGTGAGCTGCAATGGTTGCCAGCTGCCTTCCAAGTGTAAATTAAGGTGCTGATTACCTATAATATACATGGTATCGGGCCCAGCTATATGTAGGGACTGCCTGGCTCCTATAATGTTGGCCCAACCTGGGTGTTCCTTGCAAAGTTGGTTTGCTTCGAGTCCGATCACTTAAGCAATGGCATCTAGTGGGACCAAGGACGAGGGCCTTGTCCGTCACAACACCTAACCTTTGGGACAGCATCTCCATGGAGATTCATATGGCTGCCACCATGCCTGCCTTCATGAGCTTTAAAAAATTGTGTTTTTTTCCCCTCCAGGCCTTGGGTTAGAGTGTTTGGGTGGGACCCTTTGAGTTGTGGGCAATGTGGTAGGTTGTTCGGTTGTCCTTTTGACAATGGTTGTTACTTGTTAAGCCATACAGAGTAATTTTGGAGCTGGGCAGTCTAGAAATTCATAAATCAATAACTAAACAAACATAGTTTGAAACTGTTTTACTTGGCAGTGAACTATTTTATTTTAGTATATTTAGATGATTCCCGTTATTGGAAGAAAACATCTGATTAAAGCATTAGCTCAGTATTTCCCCCTCCTGGTTACTCCCAGATACGTTGGGACTTAATTCCCAAAATTCTTAGACCAGTACAGGCTCAGAATGTCTCAAATTGTACTCCTAACACATCTGGAGGCAGCCATATTTTTAAAAAATATTTCCTGAAAATAAAATCAATTAGGTAAAATAATACTATTAATTTTTTTTCTGTAGATTTCCCTCCCAAGAGTCTTATAAACATAAGAAAATTCAGTGAAATAGATATTAAAAATTATGGTTATGATGAATATTTGAAAATTGTGAACTGATTTAAACTTAAGTATCAATGTTGCTAAACTGAATTGAATAATTATATTCAAAGTGGACTTTAAGTTTGAAATAATAATTTTAAAAATTCAAATAATGTGCATTACTTCTTTTAATTTATGTAACAGGCTTGCTTCTTTCATTTGGATTACCATTATGTATCATTGTTCTTCCTGGCAGTATGTGCACATTTTGGCCTTATTAAGTCAATGGATTTGACAACTGATAAAACCTGCAACTTTCTTCACTTTAACAAACAGAACCTTTTATTGAGCAAATTCAACATTTAAGTTAAGGTTGTTCAACAGTCTCCAAACCAGTAACATACTTCAGCCTACAAAATAATGGGCACATTCCTTGATTCCTTCGCTTATAGCATCTGATATTATGCTGACTTCTTCTATTTCTTTCTATATGCCTAGCCTTAATCCTTGATATATTACATCCTATTTAAAGATGCTACTTCTGTCCCCCAGCCACTCTGATATTACCAAGGTCAACTAGATATAGGTAGGACTACTTCAGCAACACTGACTGCTGCTGACTCTGTAACTCAGTTTATACAGGCATTTTCTACCCTCAGCCTGTATCTGGGATTGGTAAAAGGAAAAAAGAAAAGAAAATTGAACTGCATCTTGGATTTATACCAGAGAAAAATTAGGCTTTATTGATAATGCTTGGTTTTCCTACGGATGATCTTCCAGGCTTTCTGGGGACAAAGGTGTCATTGTTATCTTTCCTGCTATTGTTGTTATTAATATTATGCGTAATCCATACATCTAATTAAGGTATCCATGCTGAAATATAAAGATCAGTTTATTTTACCACCATTTCCAAACTACAAAAATGACATATTTTCAGTTTTAAATTTCAGTCATCCTCCTTCTTGATGTTTGAAACCAACACACACTTTTGCACAGAGTGTTTAGCAAATGAACGTAAGGTAGCAATGAAAGTCTATGGTGCTTTAACTTGCAGGAATGAAAAAGATACTTGTGTAGGACCCCTTTGTTGATTAATCAGTGAAAAATGAAAAGGCCATCACCACAATGTTCACCCTGATTTCAAAAGGTAAAGAAGATGTAAAACTAGTTAATTTATTATTTCAAACCTTATCTTGCATTTTAGTTGAAGACTAAGGTTTGAACCATGGCCAGTAAAGAAAATAATAATAATAATAATAATAATAATAATAATAATAATAATAATAATAATAATAATAATAATAATAATAATATAAAAATACTTATTCTCTAAGTATTTTCTAGCACAATTCAGCATACGGTAAATTAAATTCTCACTGGGCTATGCATATGAAACTCACTTGAGCAAAGGGGTCTTACAGCAGTTAAAATATATATATATAAAACAACGTAAGAGGTGTAAAATGAAGGATTAGACAGAAGAGATAAAAAGATTTCAAATGCTGTTTTGAAACATGATTGCACACTTCAGAGATGCAGATTTTCATATTATGCTGGAAAGCACCCAACACCTTGCTTCCAAGAAGACATATGCAGAATCTGCAGTTTAGCAGCAAGATTGTCTCTCTTTTGGGTGTCTGTGTGTGTGACCCTTCCCATGCCTTCTTTTGATCCTACTTAAGAATGAAAAGCCTTAGCCTTTGAACCTGACTAACACACAGGAAATTCTTCTTCTTCTATTGACCTCACTGGGGTCTTTTCAAAAGGATATGGAAAACGCCACGTACCTGGTGGGAGGAAGGCTGTGTGCTGTTGCAACTGCATGTTTGCAAGAGCTTGCTGGTATTGGAAAATACCAGTATTAAAGACTGCGGTGGCACCATTGGTTTTTTCAAGCGCAGGCCTCTTTGGTAATGGGGGGAGTACAGCTTGAGGAATCCCCTATTGATAGATGAGGATAAGATAGCCCAGTTAAGAAGAAAGAAAGAAAGAAAGAAAGAAAGAAAGAAAGAAAGAAAGAAAGAAAGAAAGAAAGAAAGAAAGAAAGAAAGAGGGAGGAATAAGGAGAGAGAAAGAGAGAAGAAATAGAACAGTCAGTATAAAATACAGTAATTGAGCACCACCATCTTTTCTTTTATATCCTTGAGCAAGCAAGCAGCAGAGCGGATTTTACTATTCAAAGAAAGAGCAAGGCCGAAGCTTTGCAAGAAAGTTTTATTACTGCCCTTTCAACATGGCACTGTAAGTGCTTGGGAACAGTAAACTAGCACTTTTTCTCTATAAAAAAAAGGTTCAGGTTTTAGTAAAGAAGCAGAAATACCAGGGAGGAAAAAAAAAAAGCTGCACTGCTAGCTCCATGAGGATTGATAAGTAAAAGCCATGTTAAAGAGAAATTTTATAGAGTGAATGAAAAAAGATTAATATAATATTAAATTTTACTCCCATATCCCCAAAGTCTATCTACACATGCAAAAACAAAACAAAACGAAGTACCAAACCATGCTGGCACTTGCATTACAAATGTTAAATCTACATAAGAATATTGTTAAGCCATGCCAACCAAACAGATACAAATATATAGATCATATATATTTTACACATTTTTTAAAAATCCTTTTTTTAAAAAAATCCCATCTTACTTGATTTAGAAATGTCTACAAGGTGATTAAACTGAATGTAGGGTCCTCCATCTTCAGGAGGGTACAGGATGGCAAATAAACATTCTTCCCATCACCTTCCCACGAACACAACAAGGACACCACACTCAGTTTTAATTTGAGCTCATATTACTTTATAACAGGAAATAAGGACAATTTACTTAAGAATTTAATTAAAAAATAATTTGTATCTACAGTAAAGCTACATGCCAAGCTAAAAGGTGAAAGGTCATAGTACCAGGTCAAAGGTTGCCTCGAGGGGTCGCTTCAGTGATTTGACAGCCGACTGAGTCTTAATTAGCAGGCAGCGAGCACATGATGGCAATGGGCCAGTGGGGTTCAAGCGCATTAACATAAACAGCAAGCAGAGGTGCATCATGGGGGCAGCAGTGCATTTTGGGTAGGTGAGAAAAAAACAAATAAAAAACAAATCATCGGAATGCCATATACAACGAATAACAAGACTAAGCATGCACAATAAAGGCACTATTGAGTTGTTATTGTAGAGGGTACATACACCTCTATGTAGTTAATTACAAACAAGATACTCTAATGGGGAAGGGGAGAGTGAAAGAAGGAGAAAGAGTGAGAAAGAGAGTCTCCTTTCTGTATTTTTGTGCAAATCTCCATAAACACAGAAAAAGGTCTCTCTCCTGTTGTCCCGTTCTGTGCTATGAGTATTGCGCCACAATGTTTCATGGGAATATTTAATGGTCAAATCATATAGTTATGTAAAAAGAAATGTAGGATAATGTTAAAGTAAAGGTAGTGTCTTCAAGCTGAGTTTGATTACTGGTTACTTCATGGATATATCCATGTAATTTTCCTGGCAACAATATAGAAGCAGGTCTTCTCCTCAGAAGCTTTTTCAACTTCAGCCTAGCCTATAGTCCTATGATTTCCAAGCCATGTGCCATCCAAGCACTAACTAGATTGGCATTTTATATCAGCCAATGCTGGCTAGGAGCTAGAAGCTCTCACCTAACATTAACAGCCATCCAAAGAATAAACAATGGACCCATTTAAAGAGTTTTTCTTTATCCCGCACTACAAAACATATTTTAGACAATTAGTCCATTGTTTAATTCCTCCCAGTGTGATGTGATTGTGCTACTCCATGACACAGTCAAATTTCCAGTGGTGCAGTTATTCGCTTGTAATAGCTGAATTCAGAGAAGCACAATACAGTACACGTGATTTTATTCCTCAAGTTCTTTTATAGTCACATTGCTAGAAGCACCTGTTCTTAAATATTTCCAGAAATCATTTGTCCCCCATCATTCTATCATGTTTATTAAAGTTATTACATATAATAGTGAGTAGAAATCCATCTTCCAATTTCCTAAAATTTCCTCTTTTTTTTCTACCTTCAGGAAGTTTCAGAATTTCTTCAGAAATTTTTCTGTTGGTATTTTCGACCTTGCTTTATTATTATGAGGTAGTGAAAGAGTGATATTTATCTTCCTTTTAAATACTTTTGTAATGAACTATAATCTCCCAGGCTCCCATGTTTCTTGGGTCTGAAAATGCGTCATGGAATGGCTTCCATCATTATCTCTTCTTGGGGTTAACTGAAGGGTGGGCAGCCAGGTAAACTGTGCACTGCCAGACATATGACTTCAGTGAAAGGCAGATATTCACACATATCCCATGGCCACATCAAAACTAAGTAAGTGGAAGAACATCTCATGTGAGAACTGTATCAACGTTTTCTTTCCCATGAAGAAAAAAGGAATCTCTGCCTTTAATCTGAGACTATTAAATGCATTTTTTTTTTTTTTTGCACAAATCAGCTTAGATATGTTTGTCAGGATATATTCAATTGCATGCTCAGTGTTCAATTTCACTGAGCCAGAGCACTACTGCTGTGTCTTCCCCTTTGGAACTGCAGAGTGAGGATTTGTTTTGTAGATGTAAGCACTGGATATGTGTCATTGCAGATCACCTTATACATAATAAATGTGAACTTTATGCGCACATATAAAAGAAAAAGAGGATCCCTGAAATAAGTTTGCATACTGTAGCTAGGTTCCAGAATCACTGAACACCTATTATGAGTTGCTGCTAGCTAAACGTGGTCCAAGCTATTAACTAGGCAAATGAATGCACAAAATGAATTATAGGAGGGGAAAATCCCTTCCAGTGAAAAAGGAAGGAAAAGTAAGACAGTGTAAGATCAATTATACAAAAATTTGCACCTCTTTGATGGTATAGTTCTTTGCAGATGGAAATGGAGCACAGAAAATGACAGATCATGGGATCTACTGAAGAATGTGCCAGCTCCTTGTGTAATTTTTATGTAGCAGATGATGTAAAAACTCGCCAGTCAGGGTTTATATGCATGCGTATCAATAATACCAATGTACAGGTGACCCATAATACATTACTGTCTATCACTATGTCGTATAGGCACAAAGCTAATATGTACATCTGGCATGTACATCTATGCACAAAATACACGTAGACAAACTCACTACGTTTTTTAGTAGAATCTGACACTATGTAAGAGCAGACTTGGCACCACATGCTTGTCAGCTTACTGAAGAGGGGGCGGGGTACCCAGACCATCCTATCTTTAGTAAGGAGGTTCAATTCATCAACAGGGCTCGGGGGCTGACCACGGACCGACGGACGCGGCTTGTTTCCTGGACTTACCATGGCTGCTGCAGTAGCTGCTGCCTGAGCAGCTGCTGCTTGATTGACCTGGTACTGGGCAGCTTTGATCTTAGCTTGCAGATGGGCCGGAGGGTGAAAATATTTGCACTTTTCCCTTGAACATCTCCCTTTGATGTAATCCATGCAGACAGTAACAGTATTGTCGTTGGTATCAATCATTGCACTGTCGGCAGGGTGGGCAAACCGGCAATCGTTTTCTCCTCTGTTACAGTTGCCACGCTGATACTCTCGACATACCTACAGGCAGGAAAAAACACAAGGGGAATTACTCGAGGAAAGAAACTAAGCACAACAAGGTTAGTCTAGAGCCGCTGGTGAATAATCCTCAACCATCCTGTTTTGTTCCACCTTGAGAAGGCATCTGTGCCTCTCTGATTGTAATTAAAGGCTGGGAGATACAGTAATACCTCGGGTCACGAACGCTTCTGTTTACGAACAATTCGGTTGACGAACAGCACCGTTCGCAAAACTCCACATTTTGTTTCCGTTTGCAAACTCCACATCGGGTGACGAACAGGATCTGCGGCCATTTTCCCTGCTGTGACACATGGTCGTGTAGGGAGGGGGACTCTCCCTCCAAACAATAACCGCCTCCCCACCCACCTGCCTGTCCTCCACGCCAGAAGTCGCCTCAAGCAAGGGTAGTGTTCTCTC